GGAGGGGTGCGCACTCCCGGGGTCCTCTTGGAAAGACGCGCCCGGAACGCGCCCCCAGGGCCTCGGGGGAGCAGAATCCGAGGGGCTCAGAGCCCCAGCGGAGAGAAAACTGGGCGGACGGGAGAGACTGGAGGGACCGAGGAGACTGGAAACTGGGGAAACTGGAGCGACTGGGACAACCGGAGGACTTGAACCTTAAGGACGGGGAGTAGGGAAGTCCGACCGACCACCGGAGCGCAGCGGGGGAGAGGGGATCGGGTGTCTCTAGCCGCCTTCCCGCGTTGGGGAGCGCGAAGCCGGGAGTGTGCGTCCTGCGGTCTCCCACCCCGAAGCCTCGCTGGCAGGCCGTGCATCCCGGGCTTGGGCTGCCTGCCCTGGGTCGGGAGGGGCCGCTCTGTGGAGCCTGGGTCGTTAGCCTTCCCACCCCCTCGCCTTTGGGGCCGTTCCCAGGCGCCAAAAGCTATTAGGGTCCCCGGCCTCACTGCTCCCGCCCAGCCCCTCCTGGGCTGCCCCGCCTGGGCCTGAGGCTCCACTCCTGCAGCTTCACCCGGTTCCTTTCTTGTGGTGAGGCCGCCGGAGCCTGAGTAGGCGCCCAGCCCCTCTCCCTCTCCCTCTGCCAGACTCCTGCGGCCACCTCCCTGCTCCCAGAGGCAGGAGGTAGTAAGGTCAGCTGAGCCCCGCCGAGGAAAGTCCCTGCCCGAAACCAGAGCGCCTCCTCTGCCAATCAGATAGGAACCCCACACCTGGGGCTCCCCAGCCTTAGGGAGAGATGGTGGGAAGAGGGGGACCTTCAAATCACAGATAGATGGTCAAGAAAGGGGTACAGGTCTTCAGGTTCCCAGTGGTTCAGGGAGAGTGGAGAGACCTGGTTCACAGAGACACATACAGTACATACTTTGTGGGTGTGTGTGTTTCAATCCTCACCAGAGGACATTTTTCCATTGCTTTTTTTAGAGAGAGTGGAAGGGAGAGGGAGAGACAGAGAGAGAAACATTGATGTGAGAGAGACACATCAATTGGTTGCCTCCCGCACGCACCCGGACCAGGGCTGGGGATTGAGCCTGCAACCCAGGTACATGCCCTTGGAATCAAACCTGGGACCCTTCAACCCGCAGCCCTTGACCGGAATCAAACCTGGGACCCTTCAACCCGAAGGTTGACGCCCTATCCACTGAGCCAAACTGGCTAGGGTCATAGCTGTTGATTGAATGAATAAATGAATGTCTTTGTTCAAGTCACTTCTCCAAATACTGCCTCAGTTTCCTCTTTTTCAAGAGTGTTAGTCTGAGCGGTAGTTCTCAACATTTGGCTGCATATTAGAATTATCCGTGGGACTCCTATAAATGATCCATGCCTAGCCTTGGCCAGTGTAGCTCAGTTAGTTGGAGCATCATCCCATACACCAGAAGGTAGAAGGTTCGATTCCCAGTCAGGGCCCGTGCAGGAGGCAGCCGATCAATCTCTCTCTGTGTCTTCCTTTGAAGTTCATTTTTAAAAATGATTAAATTAGCTTCTTAGTTATTTGAAGTAAAGAACTTACTAGTTTTATTCTTAAAAAAATAAATAAAATAAAAATTATCCATGCCTAGAATACACCCCTTTATTAAAAACCCTTTGGGCAAGTCTTCCTCTTAATTTCTGTGATTCTGGCTTTTCCTGTTGCCCTCTGCTTTTCCCCACTCTGACCCTGCGTCCATCCCTTAAGGAGTGTTGGCCTTTTGTTGTTTTTTTAATTTTTTCTTTTCTTTTTTGTATTTCCCTTTTTTCTTGTTGTTGTTTTTTAATATATATATTAAGGATATTGTTATTGATTTCAGAGCGGAAGGGATAGGGAGAGATAGAAACATCAATGATGAGAGAGAATCATTGACCCGCTGCCTCCTGCATGCCCTCTACTGGGGATGGAGCCTGCAACTGGGGCATATGCCCTTGACCGGAATGGAACCCGGGACCCAGCAGTCCACAGGCCCAGGCTCTATTCACTGAGCCACACTGGCTAGGGCAGGAGTGAGCTTGATGGTCAACTCTTCTCTTCCTGACCCCCTTCTCTGGGAAGCCAAACCCCTCCCTGCTTCCCATCTGGGTCTCCGCTCCATGGCAGGAGGGCATGGGTAGCAGCCGGAGAGAGCGGGCTGGCACCAGTGTGGGTCAGGACCGGGGAGGGGGATTAACTTTCTCTGGTGGCGAGAAGTCCCCCAGAAACTGGCACTGCGCTGAACCCCAGGGAGGTGAAGTCCTTGCCGGAGGGAAAGCGTGAGGGCCAGGCAGGGAGCTGGGGAGAATGAGGCTGGGCAGTGAAATGCTCTTCCTCAAGGAACATGCCTCAGAAATGGAATTCAGGTTGTTTTTCTTTTTTTTTTTTTTTCTTTTCCAAAATCCCAGAATCTGCTTTGGGCTTGGGGAAGTCAGATAACCTCAAGCTTTGAGTTTCAGAAACAGGCCACCTCCCTCTCCCCACCTGTATCCTGAGTTAAAGTGGGAAAGCTGCGATGGGGCTAGATCCTCCACTTGGGCTGGCAGCAGGTCTGCAGGGGGCAGCTGGGGTCGGCCGGTGTGAGCACTGTCCTGTAGGAGTATCCTCCCTGCCAGCCTGGGACCAGCCCAACTCCCAGGATAAGCTGGGTCCTCTAGGAGAGATAACGTAGGGGAAGGGAGACTTCCATCCTCCTCTGCCCTTGGCCGAGACCTTCACACCCTCAAGTCTTCATAGTTCTCTCACATGCTCTTAACTGATCTTGAATCCCCCAACCTGAGGGGCGTTTCTCTTTTTCACCTGGGGGCGTGGAGAGGGAGGGAGGGGCACTTCGCAGGGAGGGGACTAGGTTGGGACTGAAGGTGAGCTGGTGATTTTGCTCACTTCACCTCTCCTTTGCCGTCTTTAGGTCTCACCTGAGGAGCCCCTGACCGTCCCTGTCCCCCACCGCATCCCGCACCCCGGCAATGCTAACCGCTGTCTGCGGCTCTCTGGGCAGCCAGCACACGGACGCGCCCCACGCCTCCCCTCCGCGCCTCGACCTGCAGCCCCTCCAGACATACCAGGGCCACACGAGCCCGGAGGCGGGGGACTACCCCTCCCCGCTGCAGCCTGGAGAGCTGCAGAGCCTCCCGCTGGGCCCCGAGGTGGACTTCTCGCAGGGCTATGAGCTCCCGGGGGCCTCCTCCCGCGTAACCTGTGAGGACCTGGAAAGCGACAACCCCTTGGCCCCGGGACCCTTTTCCAAGCTCCTGCAGCCAGACATGTCCCACCATTACGAATCGTGGTTCCGGCCGACGCACCCGGGCACCGAGGATGGCTCCTGGTGGGACCTTCATGCGGGGGCCACCTGGATGGACCTCCCCCACACGCAGGGCGCGCTGACCTCCCCTGGCCACCCGGGGGCGCTGCAGGCCGGCCTGGGGGGCTACGTTGGAGACCATCAGCTCTGCGCCCCGCCGCCCCACCCACACCCACACCACCTCCTCCCAGCCGCCGGAGGGCAGCACCTCCTGGGGCCCCCAGACGGGGCCAAGGCCTTAGAAGCGGTGGCGTCGGAGTCCCAGGGGCTGGATTCCGGTCTGGACGGGGCGACGCGGCCCAAAGGCTCCCGGCGGTCAGTGCCCCGCAGCTCAGGTCAGACCGTGTGCCGCTGCCCCAACTGCCTGGAGGCGGAGCGACTGGGGGCTCCGTGCGGGCCCGACGGGGGCAAGAAGAAGCATTTGCACAATTGCCACATCCCCGGCTGCGGCAAAGCCTACGCCAAGACGTCGCACCTGAAGGCGCACCTGCGCTGGCACAGCGGCGACCGGCCCTTCGTGTGCAACTGGCTGTTCTGCGGCAAGCGCTTCACGCGCTCCGACGAGCTGCAGCGCCACCTCCAGACCCACACGGGCACCAAGAAGTTCCCCTGCGCCGTCTGCAGCCGCGTCTTCATGCGCAGCGACCACCTGGCCAAGCACATGAAAACCCACGAGGGCG